AACAAAGTAGCCTGCTTGCTTGGCTTACTCTGAAGGTGTAGTAAGATCCTCCGAACTTTGGTGAACTTCTACCGAAATTCATGGGGTTATATCGCATAGTACGACACACTTCTTTGATGTTTATTTTTGTTTCTATTTCCGCATTAAACAGTGTCCGTTTCTTAGAAGTAATTTGGGTGGGTATCAGTTCTCGTTCTGATCATAGTTCCGTCAAGCAAGGTTTTCTGTCCAATCTCGGTTCCTGTTTACTATAATAACAACCTGCATGATGCTGCGGTTTCCAGTTGGATGAACTGTTGCAGTCTATACAGCCTCCCGGATTGGTCACTGGCTTCCTGGTGCTTCAGAAATAGTTCAACGGCCAGACACTGCTACATTCTGCACTATTTGTTCCTGACATTACACGTGTTCCTCTCTACTTCCATCCATCCATTCTACCGTCCACGAATTCTCAAATTTGTACCATTAATGAATCCATTTATACATTTATTAGTCTATTCATTCATCCATTCTTGCTTACACCTTCCCATCTATTAGACAGGAGTCAGAGTCAGAGTTACTTTACGAATGGAGGTTTACCGCCAATCAGTTTGTCTTGGCGTCAGGCCCCTTGAGGCCCACGACCAGATATTCTTTTTCCCAACTGAACTCTTGCGGTAGTAGTCCTTATGTAACATTCACTCTGACGACAAGATCGGTTTGTCTCTGTGAATACGCTTGGCCTTTCTTCAAGTGTATATTTCGCACATATAACATGTTATTGAAAATTCTTCCTTTTGTACTATACACAAGTCCTCTGTCAGTAGAGGCTTTACAGAGCAGATCATGCCTAACTTACATATCTTATGCTACAACGACAGCTTAATCATTTTAACGGTCATAAGCTTCACCACCGTCACGTTTAAGCCTCTCATATTTTCTGAGTCTGGTTTCACCTTATCCTATACCGCGAACAAATTCATTCTCATTACTAGACAAGAAGTTCTTGGAGGAACTAATAGCCTACGTTCCCTTGATAACACGGACCACATAGGAAACAACGCATCCAAAAATTCTTCTATTATCACGTGTATATTAGTTGCTGCGGTAACGTTTCTACCGAGCCTTTGCCTAGCAACGATTGGGGGATACACATGTAGACATACAGACTGGTGGGAGGATTTTACGAAGTACGCCGTTAAGATGGGCTCATGTGCCATGATATACCGTACATACCAAGTTTCATCAAGATTATTTCAGACCTTCAAAACTGATGAAGGGTGATAGAGACACACAGACAGCGTGGTGATCTCATAATCCTATTTTCATTTTTTTTAATTAAGGAGATTAGGGCGAAAATTTATCTATTCATCCACCTATGAACATATTCATCCATCCATTCATCTATGTGTCCATTCTTCGATCCGTCTCACAGTCCATGACAAAGAGAAGGATATTTACTCCATTGAGTAATGAACATGGAAAGGACTAATTAACTTGTTTGCTAGTGAAGACGCAAAACATAGACTGGGGGTGTTTGAGAACAGAGTGTTGAGGAGAATATTTGGACCGAAGAGAGATGAAGTGACAGGAGGTTGGAGAAAACTGCACAACGAGAAGCTTAATAACTTGTACTCTTCTCCGCGTATAATTAGAATGATCAAGGAGGATGAGGTGGGCAGGGCACGTAGCACAAATGGGGGAGAAGAGGAATGCGTATAGGATATTGGTGGGAAAGCCAGAAGGAAAGATACCACTGGGAAGACCAAGGCGTAGGTGGGTGGACAATAATAAAACGGATCTTAGAGAGATAGGATGGAATGGTATGGATTGGATTGATCTTGCTCAGGATAGGGACCAGTGGAGGGCTCTTGTGAACACGGTAATGAACCTTCGGGTTCCATAAAATGCTCAGAAATTCTTGAGTCGCTGCAGAATTAGCGGCTCCTCCAGAAGGGCTCAGCTCCATGAGTGAGTGAGTGAGTGAGTAAGTAAGTACGTAAGTTAGTGAAGAGGCAAATATGTAACAAATTACAGCAAACACTGAAATTTGTTTTGCAACAGACAGTAAACGGATGAGAGACCTGCGCGCAATGAAGTCTTTTTGTATTACAGATGTAATTCAAAAGAACAGGTCAGAAGAATGACAAGTCATGGTCGAATGACCGGCGCCAGAAGACGATCACAAAAACGTATAATAAATAAACAAGTAGAATTTCAGCAACAAGAATAGCAACTTACAAAGCTTGAGTGGCTAGTGCAACCACTCACAGACGCCATCATAGCTTCAGATACGAGGGCTGTATCATGTCGCGTGCTCGTTTATTTCAGAGAGAAACCCAAATGTTTCAGAACGATAAAGAAAATCGCGTTAGAAGATTACTTGAACCGGAAACCGTCCTTAATACGAGCCAGCTCACTTCGTGTGAGATTTCAGGTTTTTACAGCGGTAACTATGAAGATTACTTTCTTCTGTGATGTGACGACGTGAAGTCTGGTAGTCTACAGGGAAGATGTAGGTGACAGGTTCCTCCAAAACGCTACCAAATGTCTGTAAGATTACATGGCGTCACATCCCAGGTGACAGGAATCTTCAGTTAACCATTTAAAGGCTCATCGATCGGTCGGTTTAATTGCTTCTGGTCTTCGCCAGCACAGCCATTTCTGGCTTCAGTCTCCTCGAGATCCATGATCAAGATTTTAATTCTTTCCTAGACATGTACGTGTTCCTAAATGGGGCCTCCTTTTCGACGAAGGACGAGGGTCAATGATTCTGTGGAGGAGCTACGTTCATTGCACCGAAGTTTCAGCACGAGTATATCCGCACTGTCACGACGCCCAGGTCACTATGGACTCTGTGGATCCTTTGTCACTGCACAGTACTAAGTAACAACTACACAAGGTATACAGAGATTTACAAAGCCCAACCGGTTAATGCTGTCTAGGGAAACATTCGTTGTTTATTGTGAGAACCAAACGGAACACACAGATATATATGAACTCAGTTCGTACCTCACAGGAAAAACATTATGTCTCCTCTACAAAGCCAAACCGATTAATACTGTTTGGGGAAAGAGTCGCTGCTTATTGTGAGAATCAGACGGAAGACACAAATACGTTCTGTGGGTAGAATGCAGAATATTAATGTGCTAAAGCGTGTGGTACGTGTAGTAACCACTGGGCTTTAAAGGGTTAAATCTAGTCCACGTGTGTTTCTTTCAAATCTGTTTCAATATCATCTTTACTTTTAAGCTCAGGTCTCTCAGGAAAATTAGGAATTACATTCAAGGGCGGACCGAAATTAAATTTGTCCGAACACTTCTAGCATATAAGGGGGTCGGGATAGTTTAGTCGGTATAACGACAGGATACAGGCTGGACATCCCGGGTTCGATTCCCAGTAGTACAAGATTTTTCTCTTCTACACAGCGTCCAGACTTGCTTTGGGGCCCACCCAGCCTCCTACCCAATGGGTACAGGAGGCTCCTTCCCCGCGGGGTAAACGGCAGGGGCGTGAAGCTGACCACTAACCTCCAACTAGTTCCGAGGTCAAGAAAGGTGGAGCTATACCTTCACTCTCAAATATGTCTTCATTGCATAGTGCTAAATTAATTAAACACAGGAACAATTTTAGTTTCACTTCTATTATATAATACCGAAACCGTCCATTAGATTCAGAGAGACGTGGTAAAAAAAACGCATCGCTTGAAACCGCACCCCATGTTTTAAACAACACGGTGTCACGTCTCATAAGTCCACAATCTTAATGCTCATTGCGTTCAAAAACTCAAATCTCGAATAACAGACATATTAATAGCAACTATTAACCGCTTGAAGCGTGAAATTCGTCAATACGTAACATCTAAAATTTCGCTGATATGTTGGGTTTTTGGACTTTATCCATCGTCCTGGTTTTTAAGATAACAAATAAAAACACGACGTTTCGGAAACTGGATCTGTTTCCGAAACGTCGTGTTTTTATT